CTCTGACTGATATGACAGCATTCTGAAATTTCAAGGCAAACTATTATTGAAAAAATAAACTTGGGTACAATGTTCACAATTTGGGTGAGGTGTACATTAGATGCCCAACCCCAACCAATATGCAATATATGTAGCAAACATGCCCACAGACCCTTTGAATCTAAAATAAAATAATCTTATTTGTTATCTTGAGTGAATCACACTTTTCTCAACCCTGGTCAATTGCATAAGACAGCAACAGTCATCATTTCAAATTTCATACATGCACTGTCATCAAACCATGTTCATTGTTCTCACTTACTGTTTAAAATGTTACAGGCTTTTCATTGTTCATTGACTATTTAAAAAGTTACAGACTTTTAACCTTTAAAAGTACTCTTACCAGCTTTTAGGAAGCATATTTTTTGGTTAAGGTTTCATATTTAAAGGAGAGGAGGTCACACAGCTGTAAAAGTTGTATAACTAAAGATCTGACGCAATGTCTTCATTTTATAGAGGAGACTGAGTGAAAGGAACAACCACTTCCCCCGACATCACTTGGTCAGTTGGAGGTCAAGTTGGGGCTAGAATCCAATTCTTCTAGCCCCCACACCTACAGTCTTTCTACTCTATTTGGCAAGCCAAGAACTCAATGTATATGTGATAAGTGAACCCACTGTAACTGAATTCTTTACTCTATAAAATGCCATTGAACTTTTTATTCTATAAAATGAGTTTTTATAAAATGTTTGCAGCATTGCTCACAATAACAAAACCATGGAACCAACTGTGCTGCCCATCGAAAGAGGACTGGATAAAAAAGATGTGGCATATATACATGACGGAATATTACGCAGCCATAAAGAACAAAATCATCAACGTCGCAGCAACCTGGATGGACTTACAGTCTATAATACTGAGTATCCCATATTCTCACTCATGAGCAAACCTTGAAAAATTATCCTAATACTATAAGAAAAGGATTGGCAGTAGCAGGAAACTGCCAGCGGGGTGGGGGAGGCAACACTGACAGTAGTGGGAATCTGCTGGGGGGGGGTGGAACACCTCATCCACAAGGGTACCTGCATAAGGAACATTTGCTATACCGAACCCTAAACTGTACCCCACATTTTTAACATGAAATTTTTTTAAATGTTTTTTTCCCCAATTAGGACAAATAGAAAATGCTCCCCCCATTTCTCCACCTCCGATACATCCAGGGGTCACCCACCAAGTGGTTTCCTTGTGTAGCCGGCCCACAACCCTGCATGCAGAAAACAATTAATAACTGTCTTCTAGTAACATTCCCACTCATCACTTAAAAATGCCTGCACTAGCCGGACTTGGTGGCTCAGCCTGTAATCCCGCACCTTTGGGAAGCTGAGGTGAGTGGATTGCCTGAGCCCGTGGGTTTGAGACTTGCCTGGGCAACTTGGTGAGACCTCATCTCTACAATAAATCAAAAAATTAGCCAGGCATGGTAGCACGCACCTGTAGTTCCAGCTACTTGGAAGGGTGAGGCGGAAGGATCGCCGGAGCCCAGCAGGTCGAGGCTGCGGTGGCTGGAAATGGCCACTGCACTCCAGTCTGGGCGATAGAGTGAGACTCCGACTCAAAAAAAAAAAAAATGCCTGCGCTTACAACAACCAGTCTCTAGTTCAGTCCTTCCCAGGGACTTGTGGGGGTGGGAATTATCACTTCCCCGCTGAATAGATGGGAAGACTGAGGCTAGGAGAAGTTAGTGTCTTATCCAAGGTTACACAGCCAGTTGGGGAAACCAGATCCGTTGGCTCTAAGTAGCTCACACCTCCCCACTCCCTCACAGTTCTCCCTAGAAACCCTTCAGCACTCCGCAAAACCTATTTCCGAAGTAACAACAGCAGCCCTGTTTGTTGAGTTCATGCTACCCACTGATCCTGTGCTCGGTGCATTGCATGGAATAGCCCCACTTTTAAATTTTATTTATTTATTTGCATTTTACTTTTATTTTAGAGTTGTGGGGTCCATGTGAGAATTTGCTACGAAGTAAGTTGTGAGCAAGTGAGGTCTGAGCTTCTAGCAAGCCCTCTCTCCCCTAGCAGTGGACATGGTACCCAATGGGTAGTTGTGTACCCCTCTTCCCCCTCCCCCTGCTAGTAGTACCCAGTGTCAGCTGTTCCCCGCCCTTGTGCCGGTGTGATCCATATTTAGGGCCTGCTTGCAAATGAGAACACGCGATGTTCAGTTTTTTGTTTCTGTGATAGTTTACTTAGAATGATGGTCTCCAGCTGCATCCACGTTGCTGCAAAGAACATGATTTTGCTCTTCTTTATGGCTGCATAATAGTCTACTGTGTATATGTATCACATTTTTTAATCCAGTCCACTTTCAATGGACATCTGGGTTGGTTCCAGGTTTTTGCTATTGTGAATAGTGCTGCAGTGAACATAAGTGTGCAGGTGTCTTTTTGGTAGAGTGATTTATGTCCCTCTAAGTATATTCCCAAAAGTGGGATCACTGATTTGTATAGTAGCTCAATTTTTGGTTCTTTGAGAAAATTCCACACTTTTCCAATCTTTGTTTTCCACAAAGATTGAACTAGCTTGCATTCCTGCCAGCAGTGTAGAAGCATTCCCTTTTAGTTGCAGCCTTGTCAACACCTGTTGTTTTTTAGACTTTTTAATAATAGCGATCCTGACCTTTGCAAAGTGGTCTTTTATTGTAGTTTGATTTGCATTTCTCTGATTAGTAAAGCTGAGCATTGTTTCATATGTTTGTTGGCTGTTTGTCTGTCCTCCTTTGAGAAGTACTTGTTTGTGTCCTTTGCCCTTTTTTTTTTTTTTTTTTTTTTT